GTGGCTATCTGAGATGCAACTAATGGTCTCCTTTTGTCTGAAACGAAGAAGAGTAAAGAAAACCAAGGGCATTTGGAAACAATCAGCCCTAGGATGTGATGAACCTAGAGACCAGTAGAACCAGATGGTGCCTGGCTACCAATGCCAACCAATCAGGAAGGGATCAAAACTGGAGATCCTGGATGGAGTGGGAAGAAAAATATGGAACAAAATTAAAAAGCACTATAATGACCAGAACTACTGGTCAGATGGAGATGGTGGGTCCCTCAAGACTATGGCCCTGGGATAGGACTCAGTCCCAAGGACTGGCTCTCAGCCCAACAGTAGAATGACTTACACGCAGAACACCTAACCCAGGGCAGTGCACCCACCTACGCTATGGAGATACACCCCTTGGAGCAATCGGCCATGGGGCACCAGAGGGGCAGCATTCACATGGAAGGAAAGCTGGACAGACAGGAGTGCATAACAAAGAAGGGCATGGGGATGGGGGGTCACAGGGTCAGGAAGGGAGGAGAGTAGGTTAGGGTTGGGGATGGTAATCGGGGAGTGAAACAAATGTACACGAACTGTTGAATGTGAAACAAATTCTGCTCTGTAAATTTGCACCCAAAGTACAATTTACAAAAAAAGAAAAAGAAAATTACAGTGTTTAAATCAGATTGTCATGAGCTCAAACACACCTTTTACATAAACCAACAGTGTGATAGAGTATATGGCTGTTGTTTTGTATGAGCATTTTACCCCATTGTTTTTGTAAAGATAGTAGGAGAAATAAGTACAGTGAATGCCTATTTTATTATTTGTGTTAAGATTATCCTTTAGTTTCTCAGTGCTTTACCCAGCATAATTGCTTTCTCTTCTATCTCCAAGCTATGTTTTTCTTTACTTATTTAGATTTGATAATGAATTAGTCTTGTTTTGGTCTGTTAAGTATTTGTTTTATTTCCTAAACATTATGTGTAATTTTTTCCTTTCTTTAAATTTATGAGTTCTTTTCTCCTGAACTCCATCTGGGCTGAGATTATTGTGCCTTCTGTGCTATCCAGACTAGAAATAACTAAAACAACACAGAGCCAGTGGTTAGATGAGAGGATCCTGGAGGAGACAGGAAAGAGCTCATTTTAAACTTTGCCCTGATACCTATCATACCATTTATATAAGCATAGTTTTCCTCTCCTAATCACCTAAAACCTTGAGGAGATATTGAAATACTAGGGTGGTAGCATACACCATAATGAAATAAATGTCACCATATTCATATTTTATCTCTAGAGAGTTCTTGAAATCACTGGCACTCTAATGACTTAAAATCCATGAAAGTAATTTTATATTTAGTTTGGTCTTCAGAAGGTCCTCAAAACTGTGGAAAGGCAGCTTTTGCCATTTTTAGTCTAGACTCTGAAATCTGTAAACTGATTTTGTGTGTGTGTGTGTGTGGCTGACATTTTGATTGTAACTATAGCATTTGAACATAAAAATTATGGCCAATCTCATTAAAACATGAATTCTAAAACTGAGTTTTATAAATGAAAAAGTTTAAGATGCTTATATATGTTTTAACAACTTATCCTTTTCCCCTCATTAAGTCTACTTTTCTTCATTTTCACAGTTAACATGACCCTTTGATCTTGACCCCTTCACTATCTTTGTGATCAACCTAAAGCAGCATAGTAATACTGTTACTGAAATAGGCATTGATTTCTTGAGTGGTATATTAGATTATATCCAGGTATTACCTTGTAAATTATTTGAACTGCAAATTAACTTCTCTACAACCAGTGTCCCATGCAGGAAAGTAAAAAAGAAAAGGCAGACATAATATGATAGAGGTAGAAAATGTTTGTCTTTCCCACAACAAAAAGA